CATGTAACTCCTGGTACCAGTCATATGAAAGTTTTGTGTAATGTAGTTAATAAATGGGGAAGCACTTTAAGACTGTGGGAGAAATTGGATGTTGTTAGTGATGGGGAGACGACGACCACACATGCCTTTCAATGTGTGATTGCCCAGCTCAGGCAGCGTTCCCCCTGCTTTAGCCAGAGAGGTACCTGTGGGAGAACGGCAGGATTCTGCAGGATCCTGCTCGCCTTTGAAATCCCTGGGGATTGTACCTCCAAGCCCAATGGGAGCAGGATCGAGGCCAGAGTCAAGCGAGGGGTGATTAATGAATGTAGGTTATTCAGAGCAGAGCAGTTCCAATTAGTCCTCAGCAAGCAGTCCTGCGGCAAAGGTGGGCGCTCCCCTGCAATGATTCATACAGAGAACCCCAACACTCACTTTCCTGTAGAGAACATTAAAATTTGCATCTATTTTTTTACTCCTTCAGGTGGGCAGTTGGTGTGTTTCAGACTGAAGTTTGAGTGCAGCCTAAAGAAGGCTGCATTATTTTTATTTGCAAAGCAAGATTACAATGTGTAATAATGATGCCAAACTGGGAGAGAGTGTTTTTCTCCCCTCTCAGGTTGGGTGTGTGAAGGGAATCTTCCTTTTTGCACTCAGTCTATTTCTGGGAAGGATTTCTCTTATCGCTGTGCAAACAGGGTGATTTTTTTTTTTTTTTCTTTTTTTCCTATGAGAAAGAAGATACTTCAGGAAGGCAGGAGCGTTCCCTCTGCTTTGCACTACTCAGTCAATTCATAGTACTTTTTAAATCCTACTGCCTGCTCCTAACTTCGCCTGCAAGGAAATCTGGGGCAGCTGAGGGGCATGGGGATGAGGCTGGACCAGCAGCAGGTACCGCTCCTGGGGCTCAGGGCTCTGCTCTCCCTTGGGGGCTACAACACTGCTTTGGTGGGGGCTTTGCTGAGGAGAGGCCTTGTCCCCTCCCTTCCTTAGGGCTCTCCTTCATGAGCTCTCAGCAAGGGCAAAAGTGAAGCCTCGAAGTGACCCCCTGTGAAAATACCTGGGCATCAGTAAAAGGCTCAGCCAGGGAAGGGAAGGTGGGAAAAGAAATAAAAATCAGCCCTGTCTTTACGAGAGGAGATAATTCTCTGTGCGGCCAATAGCAACCAGTTTACCCACAGCTTACACATTAACCAGAAAAGGGAACTCGAATTAACCAGAATCTGGAGCTTGAACCATTACTCAAACCCTGGTGCAACAGCAGGTCAGATGCCAAAGGGCAGGCTGGAGCCCTGGTGCTGGGGAGGGGCGAGGCACAGCATCGGCACCGGGGACCATGGCCACTGACACCTGCTGTCACCCACATCACCAGGGCTCGGTGCCCATCCCCTCCACAGGGACCTCTGCGGGAGCAGGTTGACCTCCAGCAGCACCCAGCACCTGCCGACACGGCTCTCGTGGGTGCAGGTGGCCGTGGGGGGGCTCAGGGCTGCATCCTGACCTCGGCACACAGGGAAGGATGGAGTCCAATCTGCGGACTGGACCAGACGGGCAGAGGAACAGCAACAGGTCCTCTCCTTTCAGTGTCACCAGCACCCAGGAGGAATGACCTAACAGCTGGGAAGAGGTTGCACCAAAAGCATAGGGGAAATAAAGGGAGAAAAAAATAAGTGCAGGGTTTGGAGTGGCTGGAGCATCCTTCAGAGACACCTCCACTTCTCAAATAAATTGGGCAGATAATCCCATTCAAGGAGCGGGAGAGGACTCTGCAAACGGCCTTGGAGGCTCTTGGGGAAAGTGGCTTTAAACGAACTGGGTTGAGGATTTGAGGAGCCTTTCAAAATTGCAATGCCCTCTGACATGGAGAACTGCAATGAAGAGGGGCTCAGAGACCTGAAGATTTCTAGCACATTAACCTTTGGATTGATTGTTTAGGACAAGTAACTCTCAAAAGTTGGAGGAAGTCCTTTGATTTTATTTTTTTTTCTCTGCACTCCTCAGTTCTCTCTGGGCTTTCTAAGGCCTGTAGGGGGAAAAAAAAAAAAAAAAAAAAAGGCAAAAAAGGAAAACCACAGGGCAAATGAAAGAAGAAGGAGGGGGAAAGCAAAGCAAAGAAAAAAAAAAAAAAGGAGGCAGTATGGACCCAAATGGCAAGAAATCTTTTTATCTAGCATTAAGTAGCTCTGTGACAAGCCAAGCCTGATGCGGTGTCACCTCTTGCTAGAGACGGGCATGCTTTGCTGGGATCAGATGGTAAGAGGATGTGAAGTCTTCCCTTTCGCTTCACTCCATCATAAAACAATCAAAATACAGGGCTGTATCATGTCATCAGGTTTTTAAGCAGACCTCCCCTTTGAGATCTCCTAAAACCTGGTGGGATGATCTGAGTCACTGAAACTGAGCTCATGGCAATACTGAGAAGTCAGAAACAGCACCTGAACGCTCACGTTTTTCATCTACCTGAAAGAGACCTTGATTTCTAGCAGGTGACAATTTTCCATTTTACACAAAGCTATCCTTCTCCTTCTCCCCTCCTGTACATGATTTGAGTCCAGCTCTTGTACCAGCATCAGCCCTTCGCCAGGCAGTACAGTGAAGTACTGCTCTCGGAGTTCTTGAACTTTAAACTACAGACTAAGAAACTGAGTACGGAATCAAAAAAATGCAGTTTATTATTGTAGATTATTCTCTCTTTTGATATAACCATAGAGTCGAAAATGAAAGAAAAGCACATAGGAACATCACACATGGTTAGTTAGTAACTCAAGATATAAAACAATTTTGCACAGCAAAATATGTAAAAGAAAAAGTAACTGACAAGATTTTTTTATATTTATTGTGGTAAGATTCACTTTCCATTTTTTTTTTTTTTTTTAAAAGACAGGATATCAGTCCCTGAAAATAAAATTTACTGATTATTGCCTTTAAAACTGTGGAATTTTTGAAGTTACAGAAAATCCAGTTCTGCACCACAATACAACTGTAAAAAAATCTGCATCATTTTAAAACTGTGCAGTAATGCCATCTTTGTAACTGCATAAATGGTATTAGCGTTCTAAACAGGTTTGTCTTTTTTTTGTTTGTTTTTGTATTATATGCTTGCAGGTTATATCTTAGTGCAATTCAGTCCCAAATACTTCAATTTTGAAAAAAAAAAAACTAAACAAAACAAAACAAAAACAAAACAACCCATACATTTTGAATGTAAAATACCCCTATAGATATAAACAGGGGTGCCTCCCCCTTTTAATACTTTGGTTTTCAAATACAGTCAGTGGTATAGCAAGGACTACATATACCCAACTTATATTTAAGTTGCAAGCACATGCTGCATAAACTACTTTTTAAAACAGTCCCGTAGCAAATTCTACCCCCCTTTACATCACGACAGTAAACAATTTAGTGCATCAATCTTTAAAAAAAAAAATAAAAATCTACAGCTAAACAGACCTAACTCTTTCGAATTTATCTATAACATTCCTTTATCTGTAGCATACATTTGAACTGGGCTAACAGATGACAGAAACTAGAATTAAATTATATACTAGGAACCCAGAGCATTCCACATTTGACAATGACCAAATGCAAAAGGAAAAAAAAATAATAATAAATGGGGCAGATCACTTAAAATTAAGTTTTAGACTGTTTTAGTCAACAGCATGGTGTCAATGCCCCCCCCCCCCCAAGTGGGATGTGAATTTTGTTTTTGAGCATCTTTTCAAAGTTCTTTTTCTCTTTTGGTTTTTTGTCGTTGTTGGTTTATTTTTGTTTGTGGTTTTTTTTAATATATATATATATATTGCCACATTAGGTTATCAAAATCCATGCTGGCATGTTGGGTTTGTGTTTTTTTTTTTTTGAGGGAACGCTTCAGTGCATTTAAAAGGAAGTCTGAAGTTTTGAGTAACTCAAAGCAGTTTTAGAGCAGATGCAAACTTTAATGGGGAGGAAGAGGAGGAGGAAGATCAAAGGTTGCACTTTTTTGCTTTCAACCCAAAAAAGTGATGAGGCAATAAAACAAAAGGATGAATGCCATGCCATAATAGTTTCCAAAAGTCCATTTCCAAGCAAAAGGAAAAAAAAAAAAAATAATTATACCGTACATGACCAGCATGCAGGGTTTTTTATTAATATAATGTCTCTTTTTCATAGTCTTTCGAAACAGTTATAGTTCATTGTTGCTAAGACGAAATAGCAAGCGTAATGCATGAGATGAGTATGGGATTCTAATGGCAGACTAAAGTCTCACGTTTGGCAGATTAAGGCCAAAACTCACATGAACACACCGAAGGTTGATGCAGGCTTGATTTTGGCAGCTTGATCTAGGCATATCTCTAGGTTTGCACAACAACGCTAAAAACTGATGGAACTCAGCAAGCTGGAGTCTAAAAATTTCACATTGTTTTTGTATTTTTTTCTTTTTGTGTTTTTTTTTTTCATTTTATTTTTCTTTTTTTTGCAAAGCTCAAATCTCATATGAAGAACTCAGGATGGCAAAAAAAAAAAAATCTGACTTTTTTTTTGGACACAGCAAGCTCAAAAGAAAAAAAAAACAACACCTCATGAACTTAAAAATATATATATAATGTGGATGGCAGGTTTCAAAGAAGAGCAAGCTTCGTATGAAGAACTGAGTTGGTGGCGAGTTGGATCTTTTAAATTGAAAAAAAAAAAAGGAAACAACAAACCAACCAAACAAACAACAAAACCACAACAGCAAGCCCCCACAAAAAATAAAAATAATAATAATAATAAACAGAAAAGAAACTCATGTAGAACTGCAGGTTGGCCAACACGGAGCCAGCCCACCTTAAAAAGAAAAAACAAAACACAACCAACAAAAACCAACCCAAAAAGCAACTTTGTTTTAAAATTGTTTTGAGTTTTGTTGTTTTGTTTTTGAAAAATAATAATAAAAAAAAAGTACTAGAAGGTGGCAAGCCGGGTTGTCGCTCTAGCAAAGCCCCCAACAACAACTCACACGGAGAACTTTTTAGTTAAGGTGGCAAGGCTGTGGGAACTCACATGAAAAACTCTGGAGAGGAAGGGTTGTCGCTGCTGGATCCGTTTTCTCTGAAGCCATTGCTGACCAGCTTCTCGTACTTTTCCTTGTAGGCGTCCCTCTCCCGGACCAGCCTGGAGATCTCCTGCTTTAGGTGCTCCACTTGCTGCAGCAGCTGGTTCTTCTCCGACTCCAGGACGTGCCGCTGCTGGACCCTCTTGAAGCGGCAGGACTGGGCATAGCCCCTGTTTTTGAGGGTCCTCCTCTTCTGCTTCAGCCTGATCACCTCTTCCTTGCTGACGCCCCGCAGCTGCCGGTTCAGCTCCCGCACCGACATACTCACCAACTGGTCGTCGGAGAAACGGTCCTCCAGGCGCAGGTGGTGGTGATGGTGATGATGGTGATGATGGTGGTGGCCGCCGGGGTGATGATGGGAAGCGGGAGGCAACTCCTCAGCCCCGAAAGGTTGAGGTCGGAAAGGCTCGTAAGCTTGATGGTGATGATGATGATGGTGAGGGGCACCGATCAAAGCTTCCACCGCGTCCTCGGGGGTCAGGTTGAGAGCTTCGGGGTTGAGGTGATGCTGGTAACCCGACATCCAGTACAGCTCCTCCAGCTGAGGTTTGGAGCCCAAGGAAGCTGCGTTGGGAGCCGGAGGGGCTGGAGCCGGTTGCCCACCGGGGTTCAGCTGCTGCGGGTAGCCCGTCATCCAGTAGTAGTCTTCCAGGTGGGTCTTCTGGTCGGTGCCGGAGCCGGGGCTGGGCGCCGAGAAGCTGGGGGACGGGGGCACCGAGCTGCAGGGCGTGCTCATCGGGGTGGAAGAGAGCGATCCCCCGGCGATCAAGCGGCCGCACTGGCTGATAATGCGATCGGTCTCCACCGGCTCCTTTTTCACTTCAAACTTCATCAGATCGAAGTCATTAACATATTCCATGGCCAGGGGACTGGTGGGCAGGTCGGAGCTGCTCATTGCCAGTTCTGATGCCATCCTTTTGCTGCTGACAGTCCTCCAGAAAGGGTGCGCTCCGGGAGCGAGGGGACTGCTCTGAGTTGCCACCGGGTGAGCCAGCTTGATTTTTGGCGAGCTCTGCTCCGCTCTCTCCTGCCTCTGCCTCTCGCCACGGCCCCTCGCAGCCTCCGCTCCACTTCGCCCCGGCTGCTCCGCGTTACCCTTTGCAGAGTCTCCGCTGCCGCTGATGCATCAGAGCGAGGGGCTCTTGCTATTCGCCTTTTGCATAAAGGGTGGTGGTTTTTTTCTTTCTTTCTTTCCTCCTCTCTCCCTCCCTTCTCTCTGTGCTCTCTCTCGCTCGCAGCCTGCAGCTGGAAGTGTGAGCTGGTGGTGCTGCGAGTCAATTTGTTGTTGTTGTTGTTGTTGTTTGGTTTGGTTTGTTATTTTTAACACTTCATGGTGCCTTTCCTCTCGGCTTTCTCGTGCAAAGTGCAGAGCGAGAAGAGAGGTTCATCGGGGAAGGGAGGAGGGAAAAGAGCGAAGACAAAAAACAACAACAAAAAAAAATCAAAGTCGGTATCGCGACCAAAATGAAAATGACACCGATAGGTGCAAAGAGAGAGAGGGAAAAAAACCAACACACAAAAAAAACAACAAACAACAAACCTCGACCTCAAAGCTACAGCAAGAAGATGAAAAATATTTTAAAGGTTTCATCCAGCAGGAGAGTTTAAAAGCATTGCTGAGTTTTATAGCGCTCCTGACGTCAAATGGGAAATTGCCTGCGCGGCCGGACCAATGGGCGGCCGCC